GTTCAGTGGAGACGGAGCTGGGAGAAGTAGAGCTGTTGTTTTTTGTTGTTGCTGGATCGAGAGCTTTAGGGGGAGAGGTTTCCTTCGCTCTCTCGCAAGAACTGTCTCTGCGAAGTTGGAATTTGTTTCGTCCGGAGAAAGGATTCTTGTTGGTTCTTCGACGTTTTACGATTTTTTAAATTCTAATATGAGAGAGAGAAGGGTGGACATACACACCACACACACACACACACACACACACACACACACACACACACACACACACACACACACACACACACACACACAAACAGACTAACATAGACACACACACGCTCACGCACGCACTCTGTCGCGCATAGACTAAAAACAAAAAAAGAAATAAAACAATAAACAAATCTTGTCATCCCATATCCACGGTTCATAGATGTCGCCACAGTCGCTCCTAAACATTGTAGTTGATTATTATTTGTGTGTGATTTATGTTTCCATGTTTGCCTAATAGTAATTCGTAACTGTATTATGATTTCATTTGATATCGTTTTGCATTGTTTCCGGAAATCATTTCTTTAAAAAGGAAAGGGCATTCTTTTCTTTCCTGCTGCAAATCTCCTGGTTATTGTTTCTGCGTTGGAAAGCGGTAGGAAGGAGAACGGAAATATGAAATGTTAAGGAGTTTTTAATAACTTGTGTTTCATATATACATATATATATATGCATGTATATATACATACATATATATGTGTGTGTTTGCATATATATATATATATATATATATATATATATATATATATATATATATATATATATATATATATATATATATATATTTATGTGGGTATGTGGTGTGTGTGTGTGTGTGTGTGTGTGTGTGTGTGTGTGTGTGTGTGTGTGTGTGTGTGTGTGGTGTGTGTGTGTGTGTGTGTGTGTGTGTGTGTATACACTAGAAAAAAATACACAAAATGAATGATTTGCTAAAACCACAAATATTTTGTTGTTTTCCTCTTATGTAGGAGTGACAATAATAATCCTATGTCCTCAACCTTAAAAAATACACAAAATGAAATCTAAATGTAAGGTTGAGAAACTTCATGCATTGTAATCCTCAGACGTCACTACAAGGATGTCAAGGCAGCATCTGCTTGCGCCTAAAACATCAGTGAAGATCCTGAGAGCACATTGACGATTAAGTAGTATAAGAATTCTTTTCTCTTTCTTGTTATTAATGTCAGCATTATCGCTGTTTTTTGTTTTTATTGTTTTTATTGTTGTTTTTATCATTATCAGCACTACTGTTATTATCATTATCATTACTGTCATTATTATTATTGTTATCATCATTATTATCACTTGTTATTATTATCATCGTTATCAGCAGTTGGTTGCTGTGGTTGCGTCATTGTCATTATCATCATCATCAAAGTCATCATTGTCAGCAGTATCATTATTAACACTATCATGATTATTATTGTATATGATTATTGTTCATTATTATATTTATTATCATAATCATTATCATTATCACTATTCGTGTTATTATCATTATCATTATTATAATCATTATTATCATTTTTATTCATATTCTTATTACTATTACTTTCATAACTATTACTGTTAACTGTAATTATCAATATGGCTATTGCTATTACTAATACTTTATTATTATATAGTTATTATCTTTATCATTATAATTGTTATTATTATTATTTGCTTTTAATATTAGAGCAGCGAAAGAGAGACAAGGCACACACATATGAGAACTTGTGTATTTTGACAATAAACTGAAATAAACACAACCATTTCAATGCAATCTGCATACGGTATAACCAACACTAGCATATAATTACATGCTTTGAATATCGTTGAATACATATAGTTATGAATCAATGAACTGGACCATGACACCTTGCTGTACAGGGGCGTGTGTACTTCAAGGTCTACAGGAACAATGCCTTTATTTATCGAGCTGAGGAGACATCGAGGAAAACTAACGATAGATGTTTGTCTATCCTGAGTCTGCCGATTTGTAGAAGAATATTTGCTATGTTATTGCCGCATAAAACAATTTCCACATATATCTATGTGCACACACATACGTTGAGGTTTCATGTTTTGTTGTTGGTACTATTATATCTAATGAGATACAGTGTGTTTGTACGTGTGTATTTGTATGCATATATTTGTGTATGTGTGTGTGTTCGGGTGCGTGTTTGTATGCGCAGGTGTGTAGTGTGTGTGTGTTTGTGTACGAGGGTGTGTAGTGTCTGTGTGCGTGTGTGTGTTTGTGTACGCAGGTGTGTAGTGTCTGTGTGCGTGTGTGTGTCTGTGTACGCGGGTGTGTATTCGCGACGTACAGATATGCCGAAGAGGACAAGATGAAATCGCTGGCCACGACGCCCAAGAGCGCCCTGGGTCGGCAACAGCGGGGTGGCTGACCTTGCCCGGGCGTCCGAGGACCCACCACCTGGCAGCGCGAAAACAAAGCGACAAGAGTGATTCGTGTCAGTGGATCATGAGTGAGTCAACTCTCTACTTTCTAGTAACTTGTGAGTGAGGCAAGGGAGTGGGAGGACCCCGGGAGCGCCGTGAGGAGAGGAGGGACCCGAGGAGAGACATGAGGGAAGGGGGGGGGGGGTAGGGTAGAGAGCATGGACGAAGGACGGGAGGAGGGGGAGGGGGGTGGAAGATGAGAGAAGGAAGGGGGAGAGACATGAAGGAAGGGGGGGGGGGAGAGAGCCATGGACGAAGGACGGGGAAGGGGGTGGAAGAAACATGAGAGAAGGAAGGGGGGGAGAGAAGGAGGAAAGGAGAGGAGGAGAGCCATGAACGAAGGAGGGGGGCGGGGAAAGACATGAGAGAAGGAAGGGGGGAGAGACGCAGGAGGAACGGAGAGGGAGAGAGCCATGAACGAAGGAAGGGGGAGCGGGAGAGACATGAAGAAAGGGAGGAGGGAGACGGTGGGGCAAGAGAGGGAGAGAGCCATGGACGAAGGAGAGAGCAGGAGTCATGAGAGAAGGAGGGGAGGGAGAGACGTGAGTGAAGGAGGGGGGACATGAGAGAAGGAAGGGGGGGGGGGAGACATAGAGAAGAAGGAGGCGGAGAGACATGAGAGGAGGGGGGAATTAAGAGAAGGAAGGGGGGGATAATAATGAGACATGAGAGAAAGAGGGAGAAAGACATGAGAGAAGGAGGGGGAGAGACAAGAGAGAAGGAGGGACGGCCAATTAGGGGTTGGGGTCAAACGGGGTTAAAAGGTGGAGGCTGGGAAAGGGCGTGGGCGGCGGCGGCGAGCCCAGGCAAGGACCTTTCAGAAACGATTTACACTCGCAGATATACATGAATATACATATACATTATATATATAAACACGTGCACATTTTATCTTTTTCTCCTGTTTTTTTTTTCTTTTCTTTTCTTTTCTTTTCTTTTCTTTTCTTTTCTTTTCTTTTTTTCTTTTTTCTTTCTTTTCTTTTCTTTTCTTTTCTTTTCTTTTCTTTCTTCTTTCTTCTTTTTTTTCTTTTTTTTTTTTGCTTCGTCTTTTTTATATTATATAGTTTTCTTTTATTCGCTCTTTCGATTTTTTCTTCTGCTTCTTACATTTTTACCCCTATTGTTTTTTTCTACTTAATTTCCCTTTCTTTTCTGTTTCCTTCGTCATTTTCTTTTATATTTTTATCTTCATGTTCATCTCTCTTCATCCTCTCCATCTTCTCCTTCTTCATCTTCTTCCATTTCTTTATCTTCATCATCACCAGCATCTTCTCTTCCTTCTTCATATTCTTCTTCATCCTTTTCTTCTTCTCCTCTTCTTCTTCCTCTCCCCTTGCAATAAATAAGCAGATTATCGAATAAAAGTGACATTTACCCGATGAATTATAAAGGTAATATTTTAATTAGGTCATGACAGGTGAAGCCTAATTATCACAGGGGCAGTCTTCCTATTTCTTATCAGGCAAAGAAAATAGGATAATTTTAATATATTATATTATATTATGTATTATATAAATTTTATATATAAATATTTATATATAAATATTATATGAAATAGGATAATTCCCAAAGAAAATAAGATAATTATAGGTATGATTACCGTAGTTTTAATGATAATTATAGGCTAACAGTAGTAGCAGTAGTAAAAGTAATTGTAATTATTGTTATAACAATAATGATGATAATGAAAATTATTTTTATTATCACTGTTATTATTATCTTTATTATTATCATCATTAGTACCATTATAATAATTATACGAATGATAATTATGAGTATTGTCATAATTATAATTAAATAATACTAATGATAATTATAATACAATAGTATTGATAATACTATTAATACTAATTCAATTGCTAACAATAAGAATAGTAATGCGACTACTAATGGTAATGATAACAAAAATTATGATAATAATAGTAATGATAATAATAATAATTAATGATGATGGTGATGTGATGATAAAAACAACAATGATAATAATAATAAAAGTAACAATAATTACAACAATAATGATAATGATAATAATAATAATAATGATGGTAGTAATAATAATGATAGTGATAATAATAGTAATGAAGATGCTGATGATGATGACCATACCAGCCACAATAATATAATTAAAGTAAGATGTAAGGAGAATATTTATATAACTAAGTAGCTAACCAACCAGATATATAAGTATCAATATGACGACATCATTTTTGGATAACAATAACAATGATACCAAAAGGAAATATATAAGCCATTATGTGCATTGGCAGTAGTCCTATTTCCTCACCTTTTTAAAGTTCTTGACATCGAATTTCAAAAGACTGATTATATGTTATCTATAAAGTCAAAAGCGAAATTTCTAGATTCCTTTTGTCTCGTGCCCGTCCATGATATAATAGAGAGGAACTTACAACACACTGAAAAGCCAGAAATGCAGACATGCCCAATTGAGTGCCATGAGAGAGAAAAAACTTGCCTCATGACGTCACGGGCACTCAGGTATAAAGGAGGAGGCTCTCCCGACCTGACAGCAC